AAAAAAAAACAAAGGGCTGAAAAAGAATATGGGCCGCAGTCTCAAGCCCCAAACTTTATACACCATTCTCCTTATTCTTGTGTCCATTCAAGGCCAAGCCTTGTGCAGCATTCACAAGGTTGGAGATTTACATGCTTGGGGCCCTCCCACCTCTGCAAATCAACAAATCTACAACATATGGTCTAAATATCACAATCTCAGAATTGGTGACTCCCTTTGTAAGTTCCTCTGTTTTTCATTCATATTTTTTTTTTCCCTTCAATCTTCGTATCATTTGGTGAAATTAATGGGAAATACTACGATCCCGTTACGGAATCATTTCGTCGGGATTTGTAACCGTCGGGATAGTTGATCCAACAGTTACGAAGCCCGACGGAATGGTTCCGGAACGAGACCGTAGTATTTCCCGAAATTAATACATAAAGTTGTGAACTTTGTTGGGCTCTGTTTTTTTTTTTTGGTGGGGCAGTTTTCTTGTACCCTCCGAGCCAAGATTCTGTGATCCAGGTGAGCAGAGAAGCGTACAACGTTTGCAACTTGAAAGATCCAATCTTGTACATGAACAATGGCAATTCCTTGTTCAACATAACCAGGCCAGGTGACTATTACTTCACAAGTGGGGTTGAAAGCCACTGCCTTAAATCACAAAAGCTGCACATCTCTGTGAACGGAATTAATGGGTCCTTTGCTGGGGGAGATTCGCCTGCGTACGGTCCGTCGGCCGCCGCAGCTCCCTCTTATCCGACCGTTTTCGGCTCGATTCCGGTGACCGCTTCTCAGTCTTCTCGTTCGCCGGAAGTTAATATTCCGGGCTTTTTCTTGTTCGCGGCTGCGGCTGGTATTTTAATTTATCTCGGGTTCTGATTGGGTGGTAAAAAAGGATGTTGAGCTGTGTTGAGTGAAGGGATTTTTTTTTTATTTATTTATTATTATAATTATAATAATATTATTTATTTTTTTGGTGGGGTGTGGGTGTTGTTTTGTTTATGGATACACGGAATCTGTTTTATACAATGGTGCTTTTGTATTTATTCACAATATAGAGATTGTGAGGATTATTTGGAATTGGAGATTTGTGTCGGCGCCTCTATTCTCTCTTTGGTTTAACAAATGCTAATATACGGTAATGCTACAGTTCAGTTACGGAATTATTCAGTTCAGTTACGAAATTATTCCGTTGGGATTTATAACATTAAAACATCATGTAATCGTCGTAGATAGTTGATCTAACGGTTATAAACCCCAACGAAATGATTACGTGACGGGATTGTAGAATCTCCCGCTAATATATACGTTTTACATTGTCGAACAACGACGCGACACAATGGCCACGTTTAATGTTTTTACTCTTCATTTTTCTAGGTAATGTAAAACCTCTTATTTCCATGGTCTGATTGGAGTTTTTAACGAAAATAAGTGAATGTTATGTCTTAACAGTATAAGAAGCAGAAACAGAGTTCTTAGAGAAAAAAAATTAGAAGATTTCTCAATATTAACACCTTGACTAGAAGCAGAACCGTAAGCATTCAAAATATTCATTATAATATGAGTTTGGTTCACAAAAGCTTTACAACCTCTTTTTTGGAATGACCGCACAAATGTGCAAAGATACAACTTCTAGCTGAATAATACAACTAAAAGCCGAATAAACTAGGAGAACGGATCTGAGATCCGCCTAGAACCGACACTAGCAACGCTAGAAACCAAAACACAAGACTCACGATAGACACGACACGACAAACACTAATAAAAACTACAAAGCTCCCACAAGGAGAATAAAAATAAAAAACGATCTCAAAGGGAAATACCCGCTCACACTCGAACACAAACATAGACCAACTGCACAAACAAAAAACACAAGATCTAACAACACAAAGCAAACAAACAACACACTTAAACAAAAGAAACACCTAAACTAGAGCCCTCCTCCACAACATGATAAAGCTCCACAACAACCCTGCGACCGCAGCCGAGAGCTCCCACCCAAAGGGAAAGCTTATTGAGCTAAGCACCGAGACCTGAAAATACAGAAATCGCCTAACAAGATCCGATACACTGACCCCGAAACTCTCTAGGTAGTCACCCACATACCAGTCGACGAAGGTCAGCCCCAAACCCACACCACCTCTCCAACCGGTTGCACGAAAATGACCGTCAACAAGTGCCCTCAACCATCACCATCTACAAAGCTCGACTCCCAGCCACCAGAACACCCGATACTCCCTCTACATCACCACTGTCGAGCCTTGGCTAACAACACTAGCCATATGACAGAACACCAGGCCTTCTCTGCCCTAACCACAAAGCGCAGAGGAGAAAGGGACAAGTAGGCGCCACCGCTCCGGCTCCACCTCGAGAACGGGGTAAGGCAAACGAGTCATATCTCACCCCCGGTACCACACCCCGACCAAATCCTCCGCAAGCCCGAGAAGCCGACGACTAGAGCACACAAATGGCACTTGGAAATGCGGAATCCGGCCATGAAAGCCTTCCGAATCTCTGGTGCATAAAACACGGGAAGTGCAACACCGGGGTTGAGTCCAAGCGGCTGAGAGCCAACCCCACCGAAAAAAACTATCTTGCCGCCACCGGCCACGGCCAAACCAGATCAGCAGGGTCCACCTTACCAACACCAAGTAATTTTTCACACGTTTGTTCTCTCATTTGTTTTATTTTGAATTTAACTTTTTAAAATTCAAATGCTTGTGTAGTTTGCACCTGGTAAGAATTTAACTGTCATCATTGTCTGTTAACAATTTTTGTATCTTGTAAAATGTATCTTAAAAGTAATTTTAATACCACAACATTATGCGAGGAATAAATAAACCAAAATAAAATTTAACAATAATCACATAAATATGTCATGAACGAACTTATTATGAGTGTCATTCCATTCAAAACGAGAAACTTTTGTTTGACTTTGTGCTCGTTTAATAAATAAAAATAGGGCTCGGCTCGAGTTCTACTCGTCGAAGCTCTCGAAAGCTTAGATCGACTTGACTAGTTAATAAACCTAAGCCTCTAAAATGAAAACAAAATATTTTTGCAAGCAAGTTCGACATGATTGTCTATTTTGCCGAAATATATAATTAAAATATAAGTAGCTTGTGAATAAACTTTCTTTGGTTCATTTAATAAACAAGTTCGATTAGTTACTCAAGCTCGACTTATTAAGAAAACAAATGAGCCGAGCTTGAGCTTTCACGAGCAAATTTGAATAACAATTTTATGGTGGATTCACAATTTATTGTAAGTTTTATTCAGGGTAAATTGCGCCAAACCCCCCTGTATTATACGAAATATGCGTCTCATCCCCCTGTGTTTTAAAAAATGCGTTATACCCCTTTGTATTATACTTTTGATTGCGCACGCTCCCCTCTCCTCGTATAATACAAGGGGGTATGACGCATTTTTAGGGGATAACGCGCAATCAAAAGTATAATACAAGGGGGTATGACGCATTTTTTAAAATATAGGGGGATAAGACGCAGATTTCGTATAATACAGGGGGGTTTGGCGCAATTTACCCGTTTTATTCATCGTTTACTTACACAACTTTAATGTTGCAAAATATTATTTTTTCTTGTTGAATAGTTGATGTTTACTATCAAACTCATTTCAGTTCAGTATTTGTTTTTT